TTGTTTGCAAGTGACAAAAAAATCACATTTGCCTAGAGAGTATTTCGTTGTTGGCTCACCTAACCAAGAAAGGCAAGGGCGTAGCTGGAATGACAAGAACCAGAGACTCACTCTCTCTGGATTTTTCACCACTACTTTCTTCTTTGTGGATACTTCATTCTCTCCTACCGCAGACCAGTTTTCTCCAAAAAGTGGAGAACAGTGCTACTTGTATAAGTTTTTGGCCCACATCTTTTACTTTTTTTTTTCTTTTTTAAAAATTTGTGTTAAGATATACATGAGAAAATTAACTAAGCATTTTTAGGTGCACAGGTCAGTGGCATTAAGTATATTCACATTGTGTGCAACCATCACCACTACCCATCTCCAGAACATTTTCATCATCCCATACTGAAAATCTGTACCCACTGAACAATAACTCCCCATTCCTCCCTCCCTCCAGCCCCTGGTAACCACTATTTCTGTCTCTCTGAATTTGACTACTCTAAGCACTTCATATATAAGTGAGATGCTACAATATTTATCTTTTTGTATTTGTCTTTATTCACTACACCATTTTCTTTTGACCAGAGAGCAAAAGACCTTCTCTGCATACACACTTCTGTCTCCTAGCTCCATTTTTTTAAATCCTGAGAGAAAACTCTAATTGATTTGGCTTGAGTGACTTGCTTACTTTTAGACCAGGAGGATGATGGATGCTATGATTTGCTCAGCTTGTGTTCCATGGCTACCCTAGACTCTTCCTCAATTGTCTGTGTGTACATATCTTCTCATAAAGCTCTTCCTTGTTCTTTCTATCTAAAATAGCATCCCAGGGCTTCCCTGGTGGCGCAGTGGTTGAGAATCTGCCTGCCAATGCAGGGGACACGGGTTCGTGCCTCAGTCCGGGAAGATCCCACATGCTGTGGAGCGGCTGGGCCCGTGAGTCATGGCCGCTGAGCCTGCGCGTCCGGAGCCTGTGCTCCGCAACGGGAGAGGCCACAAAAGTGAGAGGCCTGCGTACCGCAAAAAAACAAAACAAAAAATAAAAATAAAATAGCATCCCACATCACACTAGACTCTATTATGCCTTTTTTTTCCAGAGCACATATCACTACCTATTATAGAATAGATTTATTTGCTTACTACTTCACCTATCACTAGAATGTAAGATTTATAACATGAAAGACCTTCTCTGTTTTTGTCACCTCTTTGTTCCCAGTACCTAGAACAGTGCCTGGGCCATAGTAGGAGCTTAATAAACATTTTTAATTAATCAGTTGGAAGTTGGGGTGGAGATAGAGATTTAGTATTCCTTGGTAAAAGTGACTAAAATAAGTTAATTATGCCTTCCACTTCTCTAGTGAAGATAAACAGTTACAAATAGAATGAAACTGAACTTTGAGTATATATGAACACAGTGATTAAACAAGAAAGTTATGCACAAATAGCAAGAGAACTAGTTTCTAAAGAGGATAATTGTGGAAAATATAACCTGGCATGATGGATGCATGAGTTAGAGTCCTGAAACTGCAATAGATTAAACTCTTTCTGAAATTACTTTCTGATTCTGGGCATTGAAGCTATAAATGTGAATGTATAAACCCATCAAATGTGTGTACCCATATACACACACACACACTTTTACAGATTAACTCTGTAAACTAGCAAAGCAGATATGAGTCTAAAGCCATAATGGGCAGTGCAGTTCTTTCAAAACTGCCCTTGGCCATAGTCAGGCAAGGCAAGTCCAATACTCTGGAGTACAACTTCACACTGTTGTGCTGCCCCACATAATCATCTCTTCAATCCTGTTTACTGTAGCTGCCTCAGCTCTCTTCTCCTACCTGCCCTTAACCTCAAGGGCAGGGCAAGGCAGAGAGGAGCTGGGAGCACAGTAGGGGCTGTATTGAAAAACACAAAAAAGTAGTAGACAAAAATTATCTCTTCCTGACTTCTTGATGCTGCTTTCCATCTTCTGCTCCCCTTAGAGTTTATTATTATCCTTATGATGTTTAATGGGCATCCCAAACATAGCCACTGTTGCACCTCAGACGAGTCTACCCTACTCACAGGGTTCCTCAAAATTACTTTCATATCTCCTCCCACCCACCCACCCCTCACCTCCAAATCCAATGAGAACTCTTATTCCCTGGTAGGAAACAGTTTAATTAAACTGTATTGCCTCAAAGTTGTTTCTCTACCCCCACCAGCTGTTATCCCTGCCAAGCTTCTCTAGGTGTTAAAAAGCCCTTAAGGCATGACTTTTTTCTTACTACCTATCTGAACCAGAAAATAAGCTCTCTGTGGCAGCTTTTTGCTTTTCTTCTTAGGAGATTAAATAGAAAGAACCACACCCAAAACCTTCTGGGAACCAACTGCCACATTCCGCTTTTAGGAAATGGGAAAGGTAGATATGGCTTGTCCAAGAGTAGTTGATTTAAATCATAATACCACCCTGTCTCAGTTATTCACAATAATGGTTAATCATTTATTCTTAATTACCAGGGGCTTAATAATGGCCATGCACATACTAAATGCATATAAACTAAACTACTAAATTCTACTTTTCACCTGTACTTAATCATGATTATGTGTTGCTCATGTAATGTGATCACCTGCTCTCAGCTTAAGAAATATCATTGCTTAGATGGAAAGATATACCATGTTCTTGGATTGGAAGAATCAACATTGTGAAAATGACTATACTACCCAAGGCAATCTACAGATTCAATGCAATCCCAATCAAATTACCAATAGCATTTTTCACAGAACTAGAACAAAAAAGCTTTAAATTTGTACGGAAACACAAAAGACTCTGAATAGCCAAAGCAATCCTGAGAAAGAAAAACAGAGCTGGAGGAATCAGGCTCCCTGACTTCGGACTGTACTACAAAGCTACAGTAATCAAAACAGTATGGTACTGGCATAAAAACAGAAATGTAGATCAGTGGGACAGGATAGAAAGCCCAGAAATAAACCCACACAGCTGTGGTCAACTAATCTATGACAAAGGAGGAAAGAATATACAATGGAGAAAAGACAATCTCTTCAATAAATGGTGCTGGGAAAACTGGACAGCTACATGTAAAAGAATGAAATTAAAACACTCCCTAACACCATACACAAAAATAAACTCAAGATGGATTAAAGACCTAAATGTAAGACCGGATATTATAAAACCCTTAGAGGAAAACGTAGGCAGAACACTCTTTGACATAAGCTGCAACAATATCTTTTTGTATCCACCTCCTAGAGTAATGAAAATAAAAACAAAAATAAACAAATGGGACCTAATTAAACTTCAAAGCTTCTGCACAGCAAAGAAAGCCATAATAAAAATGAAAAGACAACCCATAGGATGGGAGAAAATATTTGCAAACGAAGCAACCGACCAAGGATTAATCTCTAAAATTTACAAACAGCTCATTCAGCTCAATATCAAAAAAAAAAAAAACCAACCAAAAAGTGGGCAGAAGATCTAAATAGACATTTCTCTAAAGAAAGACATACAGATGGCCAAAAAGCACATGAAAAGATGCTCAACATGGCTAATCATTAGAGAAATGCAAATCAAAACTACAATGAGGAATCACCTCACACCAGTCAGAATGGCCATCATCAAAAAGTCTACAAACAATAAATGCTGGAGAGGGTGTGGAGAAAAGGGAACCCCTCCTACACTTTTGGTGGGAATGTAAACTGGTACAACCACTCTGGAGAACAGTGTGGAGGTTCCTTAAAAAACTAAGAACAGAACTACCATATGACCCAGCAATCCCAGTCCTGGGCATATATCTGGAGAAAACCATGGTTTGAAAGGATACGTGCACCCCAGTGTTCATTGCAGCGCTGTTTACAGTAGCTAAGACGTAGAAGCGACCTAAGTGTACATCAACAGAGGAATGGATATAGAAGACGTAGTACATATATACAATAGAATATTAGCCTTAAAAAAATGAATGAAATAATGCCATTTGCAACAAAATGGATGGACCTAGAGATTATCATACTAAATGAAGTCAGAGAAAGACAAATATCATATGTTGTAACTTATATGTGGAATCCAAAAAAATGATACAAATGAACTTATTTACAAAACAGAACAGACTCAGAGATTTCAAAAACTTATGTTTACCGAAGGGGAGAGGCGGGGGGAGGGATAAATTAGGAGTTTGAAATTAACATAGACACATTACTATATATAAAATAGATAACCAACAAGGACCTGCTGTATAGCACAGAGAACTCTACTCAATATTCTGTAATAACCTATATGGGAAAAGAATCTGAAAAAGAATAGATATAGGTATACGTATGAGTGAATCACTTCGCGGTACACCTGAAACTAACAACATTGTAAATCAACTATACTCCAATATAAAATTAAAATTAAGTTAAAAGAAATAGCATTGCTAAAAAAGACTTATCTGTGCTATAACCAGTTTATGTAGTTAGAGTATCTTGGTTTTAAAGGAATAAAAAAATTAACTGAACAGCTGGAGTTTCTTGAGTATATGTGGGAACTTTTGACTTTAACAACTTGTAGGACTTTGTGTGCTTTGAAATCACATTTATGATATTTGATATGATTGGGAAACCTAGTGTTATAAGCCTGGAATCAGTGAATCTTTGAAAAGGGATTAAAAAGCTACTAACTCTTACTGTAAATCATAGACTTCTTAGATAGGTTTTGGGAATGTGCTTAGAAAAACACACTATAATACTAGCAAGATAAGTGATATACAGAGTCCATTTTTCTGCCACTAACTGCAGGTCTGGTCATCCTGTCATTCTAACTGTAGCTGCTGTAGTGTACAAGTCACCATTCAGCATTCTCCTTTTCTCCTAGATGGAGAGTTTGGTCAAAAGTTACTGTGAGGCTCAGAGAACTGACTTCCTTTCTGTATCTTTTAAACCTATGGAACTTTGGTATATCATATATATTTGCTGTAGCATATGTACCTTCATACTTTTGCAATACCTTAGGTTCTAAAATATACTGTTTGTTTCTTTTATAGGACAATGAAGGTCAAACAGCTCTACATTATGGTAAGATGCTTTTAAATTATTACTAATTATATTTGACTTCTATTTGTTTATCTCAATTTTGTCCAGCCCAACATAGTGCTTAGAAAAATGCCTAGCCACTAGCAGAAATACAATAACTAAAAAAAAAAAAAAAGAAAAAAAACAGATTAATAACCTGTAAAGTTGGAGATATGTTAAAATTCTTATGGACACATTCACAGTAAATTGAGCATTTCTATACAATCAATAGAAATGGAGGCTCCTCCAGTCTCCTTTTGAAAATTTATTATTTCATTCTTGCTACTGTCAGTGACAAGTAAGATGCTAATCACTGTCACTTAGGGGCTAGAATCTCTCCTATAAGAAATGCTTTCTTGATGTAGTTGAAGTGAAGAAAAATAGATTTTATTTTTTAACTTATTTCCCCCATTAGCTGATTAGCGTGGTTAACTAATCTTCACTTAAGTAATCTGTAAAACAGAGGATAATCTGTAATGGAAATAATATGGCTCTCAAAGAGCTACTGGGTAATTTCAGTGAGGTAAAAGATATTGAAGTATTTTGTAAACTGTAAAGTACCAGAAAAAGTGTTGTTACTTTTAATCTATTTGGGTGTGAATATGGTTGAATAAAAGACAGCCATCGATATTTAAACCAGAATATATCAAGAACATCTCCCAGTCAGTAAGGAAGAAAATCAGGGCTTCCCTGGTGGCGCAGTGGTTAAGAACCTGCCTGCCAACACAGGGGACACGGGTTTGAGCCCTGGTCCGGCAAGATCCCACATGCTGCAGAGCAGCTAAGCCCGTGTGCCACAACTACTGAGCCTGCGCTCTAGAGCCCACAAGCCACAGCTACTGAGCCCGTGCACCACAACTACTGAAGCCCGCGCCTAGAGCCCATGCTCCACAACAAGAGAAGCTACTGCAATGAGAAGCCCACTCACCACAACGAAGAGTAGCCCCCACTCACCACGACTAGAGAAAGCCCGTGTGCAGCAATGAAGACACAACACAGCCAAAAATAAATAAATTAAATAAATAAATTTATTTAAAAAAAAAAAGACAATCAAATGGAAAAAATAGACTCCAAAAAACAGATAGTCAGCTCATAAATGGGAAGAGCCAAATAACCGATAAACAAGATGCTCACCTTCACCAGTAACTTTCAAGAACTATGAACAGTCTGATATTGTACTCTGCTTGCAGACCAACAAATTAGCTTGGTACAGTCTTATGGATGCTGGCAAAAGACACACAACTCATGGATCAGAGACAAAAGACTATTATTCACAGCACAGCAAGCAGCATGAGCTTTGTGTTTGTGTTATTTCCCCTTGAGTCCCACTGGAGCTATGAAGAAAAGCCCAGGTAGGTCCTGCACACATAGTGTGTCATAGCTTAGAAATCCTAAGCTTAGGGAACTCTAGTCTTTTATAATAAGCTGCCAGAAGACCTGCTCAACCTTTGCTCTGGAGAACACATATGTTTACTGTACTGGACAATAAACAAACCTGCCTTCCACTCTGGAAATAAACAGTACCTCTGTTGTTGAAGGCTGTTCACTATATAAACATTTTTGGAAAGACAGTCCAGAATAAAAGCTGTCATTACCTCTGCTCACAAGGGGTGCAGAAACATGAGAGTCCCATGGAGAATTGTCTCCCAACGATAATCAGGGAATGCAGGTTAACACGTTTAGATATAACTTCACACAGATTGGCAACATGTAAACATTTACAAAGATTAGCATTAGGATGCAGAGGAACAAGAACTCTCGTACATTGCTGTTGTGAGTGTCAACTGTTGCAATCACTTTGGAGATGAATTTGGCAAAGTCTAGTGAAGTTGAAGGTACACGTACCATACAATCCAGCAATTTCACTTCTAGTATATTCCCTAGAAATACTCCCCAAAATGTATATAATGAGACATAATTAAGAACATGTATTGTAGCATTACTTGTAATAGCCAAAAACTTGTTTAATTAGCCTTTATATCCTCTGTATTCTGTACTTAAAATAGTTATTTTAAATTGCATATATATACACACATATATGCATACATGTATATTCTGTGTTACCAAATGCCTTTGAAAGGTGTGCCATTGAAAATGCGCATATCCAGGACTCCCCTGGTGGTGCGGTGCTTAAGAATCCGCTTGCCATTGCAGGCGACATGGGTTCAATCCCTGGTCTGGGAAGATCCCACATGCCACGGAGCAGCTAAGCCCGTGCTACACAACTACTGAGCCTGTGCCCTAGAGCCCATGAGCCACAGCTGCTGAGCCCACGTGCTGCAACTACTGAAACTGGCACGCCTAGAGCCTGTGCTCCGCAACAAGAGAAGCCACCACAATGAAAAGCCCGTGCACCGCGACAAAGAGTAGCCCCCACTCGTCGCAACTAGAGAAAGCCCGTGTGCAGCAACAAAGACCCAAGGCAGCCAAAAAAAAAAAAAAAAGAATGCATATCTATCACAGTATACAGGTAATCACTAGGCTCCTTTCTATGAACAGCCCTCCGAAGTAATTATTGTTTTCCCCAGTTTATAAATGAGGAAATCAAAACTCAAAGAAGTTAATAAACTTACCTAAGGGAGCCAGAGATTCAAACCCATATATCTAGATTTACCAGGAAAGGAGAGAAAAACAAATGCCTTCCCCTGCCTCCTTCCACAGCACTCACATCTCTCACTCTGCAAAGGTGTTTATAGAATTCTGTCAGATAGCTCCTCTGACATCACCAAATGCTGGCTACTCTTAACTCGAATTTTCGACCCAGGAAAAAACGTTTCTCAGCTACCTCCCTAGCTGTTTGAACTTGACATTAGTCAAACAACCACAGATAATCTGAAAGGGAAAAAAGGAAACTCTTCAACAGTGGTTGTGAGGCCCTCAGCCTAAAATTCAGAGCTGCGCCTTCTTCCTGATGCCTAGCTTCAAGAAGCCAGGCAAACTTTTTAATTCAATATACATGCATAAGGTCCAGAGTTCACTGCTCGGCTTAGAAAGACAACTCCACCAATGCAACCACGTGCTGTGCTAAATCAGTTCTTATTTTCATCCCCTCATTCCTTCTTTCATTCACTCATTAGACATTTTTTAGTGCCTTCTCTGTGGCATGTTTTGTGTTTTCCTTTCATTTCTCCATCCAGAAACTGTAGAAACAGTTAAACCAGACTAAACATGCCCTTGAGAATGTAGATGAGTCACTCTGTCATCCTTAGTTAACCGTTAGGGGTGAATGCCTTTACAGATGTGGGAATGTGTCCATTTAAGTTTGATATGTGTAAACTTCATTTCTGTATAGCAGCAGGGTTGGGATTTTTTTTTTTTTCCCTTTGGCTGCACCGTGCGGCATGTGGGATCTTAGTTCCCTGACCAGGGATCAAACCCACGCCCCCTGCATCAGAAGCACAAAGTCTTAACCACTGGACCGCCAGGAAAGTCCCTCAAAGGTCTTTCTGACTGGCTTCAAAATAAGCTGTATATTCTTTATGTACTGATATGGAAAAGTCTCTAAGATATATTGTTAAGTGAAAGGAATAAGGTGCAGAACAGTGCATATGCTGTGCTGCCATGAATATATCTGTACACATTTGCTAGTAAGTGGAACGATACACAAAAAGTGAATGTTGGTTGCCTAAGGGAAGAAGTGTGGCGCTAGAATACAAGCACAGGATAAAAGTGTTTTCCTATAAACCCTGTAATGACTTCTGTGTTTGGAACTGTATGCATGTATCTATTTGAAGATTCAGTTTAAATTATTTCAAATTTAAATTATTTTAAATCTAAATATCATAGGCTCTATTAGTACTATAAATACAACTTAATTATATTTCATTCATTCAACAAATATTTAATGAGCACCTACTACTTGCTGGATAAAATATACCAAACATCCTTTTCAAGGTAACAGATGTCCCCAGACATTGGGTGTCCTTCACCTCCCAGCCAATAAACAAGGACCCGATAACCATAATGCTAGTGTGTGAGTTAACACTGTCTAATCTGGGGAAACTGTGGGCTTGGGTTTCAATGCCAGCAAACCCTGGAAATGTTGCTTCTTGAGTAATGGGAAGTTGGAACTGAGACCTGCATCCAGAGTAAGCCAGCACTTTCAAAGGACTGCATCCTCGGTAGGAAAAAAAAGTTAAATTAGATTAGATTAGAAAAAGGTGACCCACTAGTTGTAAGGAAAGAAAACAAGCTTATCTGCCACAGACCAGAATCTGGGTGGAAGAAAAGCCCCACCTCATGCAAGTTTGGGGTTTAAATTTATACTCTGTTTCAGAAATTCTCAAGTTGAGAAATTAACATAAGTGTACTAGGCTGGTTACCCCTAAAGGAACTGGCAGAAGCAAATGCTAAACTTCTCTTGAGAGACACATCCCCAACCAATGCAGCACAAAATTCCTACACAAAGAAGTTCTGCTGAAAATGAGCTCACAATCCGGAATTACAGATTACACCTGAGTGAATGTCAGCAGACATAGTAAACCACAGGATTAGACTTTAAGGAATTTAAGTAAAACTATTGGATAGAAATTATCAGAAAAAGATTGTATAAAATCAAGGAATCAAGAACACAGGAACAAGACACTCCAAAAAAGAACAAGCAGATTTGAAAGAGAATCAAATAGAACTTCAGTAAGAGAAAAAATATAGAAATCTTACAATATGAATAGGTTAAAGTGCAGAATTGGCACAAAAAAAATTATGGTGAACTGAAAGGTAGTTCTAAAAGGCAGTACAGAAAGATAATGCAATGGAATTGTAAAAGAGACACTGAGTGTAAAATGATGAATCTCACGAACGTACTGTTTTGTATCTGGCATCCTGAACTCAGTATGTACTATATGCTGCCATTTATATGACGATCAAAAACAGGAAAAACTCATCTCCAGCATTAGCAGACAGGATAATGGTCACCTTGGGGAACTGGGTAGGTGGCATTTGGAAGGGATTAACAGGGCAGGGGTGCTTCTGAGATTCTAATGATGAGCTGATTCTTGATCTGT